GGTTTTTAGTTGACAACTGTGTCCCCTTCTTTTTTTTTTTTTTAATTTTTTTTTTTCAAACGTTTATTTATTTTGGGGACAGAGAGAGACAGAGCATGAACGGGGGAGGGGCAGAGAGAGAGGGAGACACAGAATCGGAAACAGGCTCCAGGCTCCGAGCCATCAGCCCAGAGCCCGACGCGCGGCTCCAACTCACGGAGCGCGAGATCGTGACCTGGCTGAAGTCGGACGCTTAACCGACTGCGCCACCGAGGCGCCCCTGTGTCCCCTTCTTATAGACAACGCTCGCACAGAAATTTTGTGTTTGGCAATATGATGGACCACATATTCTAAAATACTTTTCCATGAGAAGAATTTGAAAGGATTGACAAAGATGCTTGATGTTTTTTAAATGCATCACTGAACTGGCAAAAAGATAAGAAATCTGGAGAGGCCAGGAGGAAAGCAAAAGCAGGAACCAAGGAAAAGAAGCAAGAACTGAAGGGAGTTTTTGCCCTAAGAACATCTGTATTCCTTAAGCTCTGTTTCACACGTGTATTGGGTAGGGAAAACTAGGCACAAAGCCTAGGGACTAGGGAAAGGATCAAATAGAGTCCAAAAGACCAGAAGCTCAATGTTAAGGGTAAATGAGAAATAATCTTCTATACAGAAGATGCAAGAAAAGTTGTATCCCAATTTCACCACTGAGTAAAGGAAAGTAAAATCTCTCCCAAGAATTAACGATCTTCATATAGGTTTGTGACCTGAGTTCACACTATCCATTGTGGGGGTGGGGGGGTGGTGGTGAAGGGACTCAATTAGAGAACTTAGCTTCAAGAAGTAAAAGAGTCATGGAAATATTTTTCAAGGAACAAAGGCTATAAAATATAACCAAGCAGATTTGAGAAAGAACCAGATTTGAGATGGAACTTCTATAAATTAAAAATATAACAATTAAAATGAAAAAACTCATTAGAGATCTTAATCACAGCTCAAGGATGAATTAGTGTAAAAGACAGAACAAAAGAATTGATCTGAAATGCATCCCAGAAAGACAAAGGGAAAGAAAACATGACAGAAGTAAAGCCAAGGAGTGAAAAGTAGTCTACCAAGGATTTAATCAGATTTCCAAAGGGAGAGAAGAAAAAGAACAGGGGGAAAAGTGATATTCAAAGAAATAGTGGCTGAAATTTTTCTCAGAAAGTTTGAAAGACAAAACAACTTTCAAACCCAGGAATGCCAATGAATTTTAAGCAGAAAAAATACAAAACATACACAAACCATAGAAAACTCATAAGACTGGGGTGCCCGGGTGGCTCAGTCAGTTGAGCGTCTGACTTCGGCTCAGGTCATAATCTCACGGTTCATGGGTTTGAGCCCCGTGTCAGGTTCTGTGCTGACGGCTCAGACCCTGGAGCCTGCTTGGGATTCTGTATCCCCCTCTCTGCCCCTCTCCCGCTCATGCTCTGTCTCTCAGTCTCTCTCTAAAATAAATAAACATTGGGGCGCCTGGGTGGCGCAGTCGGTTAAGCGTCCGACTTCAGCCAGGTCACGATCTCGCGCTCCGTGAGTTCGAGCCCGCGTCGGGCTCTGGGCTGATGGCTCAGAGCCTGGAGCCTGTTTCCGATTCTGTGTCTCCCTCTCTCTCTGCCCCTCCCCCGTTCATGCTCTGTCTCTCTCTGTCCCAAAAATAAATAAACGTTGAAAAAAAAATTTTAAATAAATAAACATTAAAAAAATTTTTTTAAAGAAAACGCGTAAGACTAAAGAACACCAAAGACAGAGAAGATTTTGAAAGTTTCCAAAGGGGAAAGAAAAAAAGAGAGAGAGGGGGGAATTAGATCAATAGGTGACCACTTAAGAGCAATGATGAAAGTCAGCTGACAATGAGAAAATATCTGATTACAGAGAATAATGGTCCTAAAATTCTATACACCGAGAAACCCTCTTTCAAGACTAAGGGTGAACTAAAGACATTTTCAAGCAGGTAAAAATCCCACAAAGGAAATTCTCTTTAACGTTTATGTATACATTTTGAGAGAAAGAGAGAGGGAATGAGCAGGGGAGGGGCAGAGAGAGATGGAGAGAGACAATCAATCCTAAGCAGGCTCTGCGCTGTCAGTGCAGAGCCTGATGTGAGGCTCAAACTCATGAACCATGAGATCATGACCTGAGCCGAAATCAAGAGTTGGATGCTTAACCAACTGAGAAACCCAGGCACCCCACAAAGGAAATTCTAAAGGATTGATTTCAGGCAGGAAAAATGTAATGCCTGACGGAAAATTTGAGATACAAGAAAGAATGGTGAGCAAACTTACTTGTAACTATTTCAGGAAATCCAAACAAATCTTGACTATAAGAAACAATTATACCTCATTTATGGGGTAAGAGAAAACAAGATAAATCTAAAATATTGCATGTGAATTCAAAAGGGGATGACTAAAGTAAGTCAAAGTGTTCTGAGTTTCTTTTATTTGAGGAGGAGGAAAATAGAGATGTAAATTAACTTCAGCCTTATTAGGTTAGGATTAATGCTGTAATATCTAGAGTTACCTTATTAGGTTATAATAAATTCTATAATATCTATGTATAACTAAAAGAATATATGTAAAGATAAAAATAAATATTACCATTCAAATAAGTTAAGAGGGGAAAAAATAAATGAGTAATAAAAAAAGCAATAAAAAAGAAGAAAAAAAGAAGTTTGGGGGGCAAGCATTAATAAATAATAGTAAACACAGTAAGGAGGGATGAATTAAATCAGCCAATTGTGAGCAAAGATTATAAAGTGTGCATTACACACACACACACACACACACACACACACACACACACACAGAAAGAGAAAGAGAGAGAAGTACAGAAAAAAGAGAGAAAGTGTGCTATGTTCTGTTTATAATATACCTAAAACAAAGAGACCCAAAACAGCTTAAGTTAAAGGCTCCAAAAGATATACCACAGAAATATTTACCTAAAGAATTCTGGTGCTAACGTATTCATATAATACAAGACAAACTTCAAAACAATAACTATGATAGAAATGAAGAGATTTGCTACATAAAAATAAAAAGATTAGCCCATCAAGTAGATATAATAGTGAGGATATACATAATAACAACAACAATCTTAAAATATACAAAATAAAAACTGAAAAATTTCAAGGAAAAATGAACAAATCCAGAATCACAGGTGGAGATTACAACACAATTTTGTCATTAATTGATAGCTGAAGCAGAAAAATTATTAGTAACAGTATAGGATATTTGAATGACACAGATTAGATTTAGTGTTTATAAACAACACTGCATTCAAGTTATCAGGAATACACATTCTTTTCAAGGATTTATGAATCATTCTTTTTTTTTTTTTTAATGACCAGTGACTGCTAGATCATAAGCAAGCCTCCACAAATTTCAAATGAGTGGTATCCTATAGATTGCAATCTCTACCCCAATACATATACCCCCATATATTTAGATATTTTAAACATACAAATTAGAGGTCAAAGAAGAAACTATAACAGAAATTAGAAAACAAACCCAAATGATTATGAAAATGCATATACAAAAATAATGTAGTATACAGGTAAGTAAAATTAAAAGCAAAAATTGAAGCATTAAATTAGAAAACAAGAAAATATAAAAATTAGATTTTTAACTTCTAACAGTATAAGAAATTTTAGACAAGAGGAGAATAATTCCAAAGAAATTAGCAGAAGAAAAATAGTTAATATAGGAACATTAAGCAAAACACAACAAAGACACAAAACAAAATGTACAAACAAATAAAAGGATCAACAGAGTTAAAGTTAGTTTTTGAAAATACAAATAAAATAGACAAACCTTTGGAAATATCAGTGGGGAGCGGGGGGAGAGAGATCAGAAAAAAAAAAAGACACACAAATAATCAATATTAGCAATAAAAGGGAGTTTATTACTACAGATGCAGCAGAGATAAAAGAATGTTATGGATAATATTATATGGACAAGAATATTGTGCAATATCACTGAAATCATAAACAAGTTAAATAAATAAGTTACTTGCTCTAGACAAATTTATAGAAAAATACAATTAGCCAAAATTGACTCAGGAAGAAATAGATCTATAACTACCAAATAAATTAATCAGTACTTTACAAGCATACCATAATGAAAACACCAGGCACAGAGAAGTTCACAGATGAGTTTCTATCATATCAAAAAAAAAAAAAAAAAAAAAGACAAACTCACTCAAACTGTTCCAGAGAACAAGAAAAAAGAACGCACACTTCAATTCATTTTAGGAAGCTGACATAATTTTGATACTGAAACTCAGCAAATCACAAGAAAGGAAATTCATGGGCCAATTTCATGTAAGAACATAGATGAAAATATACTAAACAAAATATTAGCAAGAAGTCCAGCTGTATATGAAAAGGATAATATACTACGGCCAAGTTGGGTTTAGCCCCAAAATTCATGGCTGTTTTAACATTAGAAAATAGATGAAGGAAACTCACTACATTAATAAGGTAAAAAATGGGGCGCCTGGGTGGCACAGTCGGTTAAGCGTCCGACTTCAGCCAGGTCACGATCTCGCGCTCCGTGAGTTCGAGCCCCGCGTCGGGCTCTGGGCTGATGGCTCAGAGCCTGGAGCCTGTTTCCAATTCTGTGTCTCCCTCTCTCTCTGCCCCTCCCCCGTTCATGCTCTGTCTCTCTCTGTCCCAAAAATAAATAAACGTTGAAAAAAAAATTTTTTTATAAAATAAATAAATAAATAAATAAATAAAATAAGGTAAAAAAGGAAAACGTTATGGTCATCTCAGTAGATGAATAAAACCAACTTTGTAAAATTCTACAGCCATTTATAATAAAATCTTTTAGTAAAGAAATAGACCCTCCCTAAATAGATTAAAGGGCATCTGCCCAGAAAAAAATATATACCATACTTAATCACGACGTGTTGAAAGCATTCCCTATGAAACCAAAAACAAAATAAAAATGTCCAGCTCCCACTAACTTCTATTCATTATTGTACTACAGATCTTAGCTAGTGTAGAAAGAAAGAGAATTTGTAAGAATGGAAAGAACCCAAACTGTCATCATTTGCAGCTGATACGATGGGCGGCCACATCAGCCAGTGCACACAGCCAGGGGAGTGAGTGCGGGCTGTATCAGGCCTCTGCTGTGCCCTCCTGTCACACACCTTACACACGACTGGATCCACCAGTCACGTCTGGGGAGACATGGCTTTCCCTAATTGTTCCTAAAATGCAGCGTGAGCTGGTAAGTCACTCTCGTTGTCAATATAGAAAACTCCAAAGTACCTACTAATGAACTATTTTAATTCATAAAATGGCTTAGAAAGTTGGACAGAAAGGAACACACAAAAGTCAAGTAGAGTCCTAGACACTGGCACAAACATAAAGTGAAATTTAGAAGAAAAAGCATTAACAAGAGCAACAAAAATATTTAAGGTATATAAAAATGAATCTTAACATGTACAAGTTCCTTAATGAAAAAAACAAAACTTATGAAAAGATATTAAATAGGCCCAAAATAAATGAAAATTTATTGCATATAGATAGACATAGATACGAAAATGTAAATTTACCGTAAGCTGATATATAGATACAGTGTAATCCCAACCAAATCCTCACAGGATTTTTTTCCCTAGAACTTCATGAGTTAAATCTGAACTGTATAACCAAGATTATTCCTGAAAAAGAAAAATAAATTAAGGGACTTTTCCTGCCAGATAACAAGACTTATTTTCAAGTAGTATACACCATGTGATACTGACCCCGGATAAACTTAGAGAATCAAGTAGCAAGCCCCAAAATAGACCAAAGCAACTGTAGAAATGTGATTAATGACAGTGGAGGGGGAAACAGAGGGAGTCAGAGTCAGAGCACACAGCACATCCCAAATCACAAGCAGAAAGTGAATGAGGGTATGTGTGTTGGGGGCTGAGGGGTGATTGCTCCTGCCTGGTCTATGAGGGGTGAGCTCCTTCTTGCCCACACACTCCTTTCCCTGAAGCTCCTGCTTGTCCCAGAGCAAAAATCTAGTTGGTTTGAGCCAGAGAGAACCAGGCAAAAGCGTTGCTCTAAAAGTCCCCTTCTGCAGACCAAAAAGAACAGCCATCTCCAGGAAAAGCCAATGAAAAAGCTTCTGAAAATGAGAAAGGAAAGGTTAATTAAGATGACCTGGTATATGAATGTTTTAATGTGTTGCTGAATTCAGTTAGAATGATCAAGTGGGATTTATCCCTGGGATGCAAGGAAGGTTCAACATACAGAAATCAATAAACATTTTACACCACATTAATAAAATGAAGGATAAAAAATTATATGATCCCCTCAACAGATACAGAAAAGGCATTTGACAAAATTCAGTGTCTTTTTGTGAAAAAAAAGTGTTCAATGAATTGAGTACCAAAAAACCATACCCCAACATAATAAAAAACAGATTTAACAAACTCATAGTTAACATCATAGTCAATGATAAAAGATTAAAATCTCTTCCTCTAAGGTCAAAAACAGTACAATGGTGCCCACTTTCAACACTCCCATTCAACATAGTACTGAAAGTCCTAGCCAGAGCAATTATTTAAGAAAAGGAAATAAAAGGAATCCAAATCAGAAAGGAAGAAGTAAAACTGGCTTTGTTTGCAGATGACATGATGTTATATATTTTTTAAAAACCCTAAAGAATCCACCAAAAAAAAAAAAAACTGTTAGAACTAATAAATGAATTCAGTATAGTTTCAGGATTCAAAATCGACATACAAAAAACAGTTACATGTCTATACACTAATAACAGACTATCTAAAAAAGAAATAAAGAAAAAAATCTCATTTATAATAGCGTCAAAAAGAATGAAATACTTAGGAATAAATTTAACCAGGGAGGTGAAAAATACATACACTGACAACTATAAGACATTGATGAAAGGGCGCCTGGGTGTCTCAGTCAGTGGAGTACCCAACTCTTGATTTCAGCTCAGGTCATGATCCCAGGGTTGTGGGATCGAGCCCCACATCAGGTTCCATGCTGATCATGGAGTCTCCTTAAGACTCTCTGTCTCTCTCCCTCTGCCCCTCTCCTCTCAAAAAAAAAAAAAAAAAAAAAAAAAAAAAGACATTGATTAAAGAAATTGAAGAAGACACAAATAAATGGAAAGACATACCATATTCACAGCTGAGAATAATTAGTATTGTTAAAGTGTCCATATCACACAAAGCCATCTACAGACACAATCTAATTCTTATCAAAATTCTAATGGCGTTTTTTTTTTTTTTTCACAAAAGAGAAAACTATCCTAAAATTCAAATGGCACCACAAAAGACTCTAAATAACCAAAGCAATCTTAAGAACAAGGCTGGAGACATCACACTTTCTGATTTCAAACTATATTATAAGCTATACGAATCAAAACTGTATGGGACAAGTATAAAAACAGACACATAGACCAGTGGAAAAAAACTGAGAGCCTAGAAATAATCACCCATATGTATAGTTAACTAATATTTCACAGGGAGATAAGAACACTCAATAAGGCAAAGAGAATCTCTTCAATAACTAGTCACATTCAAAAGAATGAAATTGGACCCCTATCTTACACCACTCACAAAAATTAACTCAAAATAGATTAAAGACTTAATTGTCAGACCCAAAACTGTAAAACCCCTAGAGGTCAATAGCAGGGGCGATGGGGAGGGGTGGGGGGAGGTGCAGCAAGGCTCTTCCTTCTCCCTAACTCCCTTGATCCTTTTCTTCTTCCTTCTGCTTTCTCTTCCCACCAGGTCTCATCCACTTCCCCTAATAGCATCCCCAATCCTACATAAAGGCATGACTTCCCAGCACCCCACGGAAAATATGGTGCAGCCCCAGAAACTAACTCCCCATCACCACTTCTAAAAAAACTGATTTGAAGGCATCTCCAAGTTTGAGCAAACAAAAATGTCAGGATTTCAAGCATCCCTGGTTTTGCACTACTAAGTGTCAAGATGAAAAAAAACTGGAAACTGATTGGAACCTTATTCGAAGTCACAATGGAAAGCACCACCTGCTACAAACCATTCTAAGATTGCTTTGTATGGGACTCCCCGGGATCCAGCCACTGACTTTGAGTTTCGAAGTGAGCTGCACAAAGACAGAGGAAAACTCTGCTGCACTTCTTACATCGTGGTTCTGAATCATGTTCGCAGGTCCACCATTAGTGACCACCTTAAGTCAAAGACTCATACCAAGAGGAAGGCAGAATTTGAAGAGCAGAAGGTGAGGAAGAAGCAGAGGCTCCTAACTGCATCCCTTCGGTGCAAAGGTACTGTGCACACAGAGAAAGTGTTCTCTGGAACTTTATGAAAATGTGCCTAGAAGCCAACATCCCACTTGAGAAGGCTGATCACCCAGCAATCTGTGCTTTCCTGTCTTGTCATGTGAAGAGTAGAGGCTCCAGGAGAGATGCAAACCATAAGAGACTCTTAAATATAGAGAACAAACTGAGGGTTGATTGGGGAGAGGGTAGTGGGGGGAGAAAGGAAAATGGGTGATGGGCATTGAGGAGGGCACTTGTTGGGATGAGCACTGGGTGTTGTATGTAAGCGATGAACCACGGGAATCTAACCCCAAAACCAAGAGCACACGGTACACACTGTATGTTAGCCAATTTGATAAAAAATTATATTAACAAAAAGAAGAAGAATGGAGGCTCCATACCTAAGTCAGACCAGCTGAGGAGAGTATATCTGCCTGATGGACAGAAGAACGAGAGCCAACTCGTCAATTCACAAGGTTGTTGACGAAGAGGTTACCACCATTGTGATCAAGATAAATGTGGAGCATTAAAGTTAACAAGAGCGAAAGAAAACAAGCAACAGAAGTAAAAATAAACAAGTGGGACTACATCAAACTAAATAGCTTCTGCACAGCAAAGAAACAGTCAACAAAATGGAAAGGTAATCTGTAGAATGGTTAAAAAAAATTAGCACACTGTATATCTGATAAGGGGTTAATATTCAAAATATATAAGGAGCTCATACAACTCAAGAGCAAAAAAAATTTTTTTAATTTAAAAATCTATTGTAAAATGTGCAAAAGGCTTGAATAGACACTTTTTTTCAAAGAAGACACACAAAGGACCAACATATACATGAAAGGTGTTCATCATCATTCATCACCAGGGAAATGCAAATCACAACCACAATGAGACATCACCTCACACCTGTCAGAATGGCCAGCATCAAAAAGACAAGAGAATAAGTAAGTGTTGGTGAGGACATCAAGAAAAGGGAGCCCTCATGCACTGTCAGTGGGAATGTAAATTGGTATAACCACTATGGAAAATAGTATGGAAGCTCCTCAAAAAATTAAAAATAGAACTATTGGGGCACCTGGGTGGTTCAGTCAGTTAAGTGTCTGACTTTGGCTCAGGTCATGATCTCACAGTTCATGGGTTCAAGCCCCGCCTCGGGCTCTATGCTGATAGCTCAGAGCCTGGAGCCTGCTTCAGATTCTGTGTCTCCCTCTCTCTCTGCCCCTCCCCCATTCATGCTCTGTCTCTCTCTCTCTCTCTCTCTTCTTTCTCTCTCAAGATTAAATAAACATTACCCTACAACCCAGCAACGGCACTCCTAGGTATTTAACCAAGGGATACAAGTATGCTGTTTCGAAGGGACACATGCATCTGAATGTTTATAGCAGCACTATCAATAATAGTCAAAGTATGGAAAGAGCCCAAATGTCCATCGAAAAGAATAAAATCTTGCCATTTGCAACTACATGGATGGAACTAGAGGGTAGTATGCTAAGCGAAATTAGTCAGAGAAAGACAAATATCATATGACTTCACTCATATGAGGATTTTAAGATACAAAACAGATGAACATAAGGGAAGGGAAGCAAAAATAATATAAAAACAGGAAGGGGGACAAAACATAAGAGACTCATAAATATGGAGAACAAACTGAGGGTTACTGGAGGGGTTGTGGGAAGGGGGATGGGCTAAATGGGTAAGGGGCATTAAGGAATCTACTCTTGGAATCATTGTTGCATTATATGACAACTAACTTGAATGTAAATTTTAAAAATTAATTAAAAAAATAATTCCAAGTAAAACAAAACAAAACAAAAATAAAAATTGTGTATTTGAAAAAAAGAATAAATAAACATTAAAAAATATATATCATATCATCCAGCAATGTTATTTCTTGGTATATATCTGAAGGAAATGAAATCAGTATCTCAAAGAGCTATCTGTACCCCCACATTCCTTACACCATTACTCACAATAGCTGAGACATGGAAATAACACATTTTCTTTATATACGTGTGTACACATACATACATACATACGCAATGGGATATTATTCAACCATAAAAAAGGAAATCCTGCCTTTTGTAATAATATGGATGAATCTTGAGAGCGTTATGCTAAGTGAAATAAGTCAGGCAGAGAAAGACAAATACTGTATGACCTCACTTATATGTAGCATCTAAAAATGCTGAATTCATAGAAACAGAGAGTAGAATGGTGGTTCCCTAGGGCTAGGGGTTGGGGGAAATTAAGAGATATTAGTCAAAAGTTACAAATGCCAGATGGATAAGTTCTAGGGATCTAGCATACAACATGGAGGGTGACTATAGTTAACAATACTATATTGTTGGGGCACCTGGGTGGCTCAGTCAGTTAAGCATCCAACTTGATTTTGGCTCAGATCAGGCTCTCACTTGACCGTGAGATCAAGCCCCGCATTGGGCTCTGCTCTGACAGCGTGGAGCCTGCTTGGTTCCCTCTCTCCCCGTCTCTCTCTGCCCCTCCCCTGCTCGCATGCTCTCTCTCAAAATAAATAAATAAACATTTTTAAAAAACACTATACTGTATATTTGCAAGTGGCTAAGAGTTGATCTTCAGTATTCTCATCACAGTTACAAAAAGCGTAACTGTCATCCATCAGGTGATGGATGTATTAACTCACCTTATGGTGGTAATAATTTCACAATAAATACGTTTATCAAATCTTTACATTGTATACCTTAAGCTTACACAATATGATATGTCAATTATATCTCAATAAATCTGGGGGGGGTGGGTAGGAAGTTCGGCCAGATACCCAAGTTTGGCCAGATACCCACCACCCTGCTAACACAGTCTAGGACAGACAGCAGATCAGGATCCAGTATGAAAGCTGTAGAGGACCTGCTTTCTGCCCTGGCCAACCTATGAACGTCCAGGTGCAGGGGGCCAGCACAGCCCCTCAGCACAGTGCCTAGGGCTGCCCCGGCTGAGAACACTTCAACCTTACATGGCATGGGTGTGTGGGGGTTGATGCTCTTATCCTGATACTATTGCCATGTGCTAAAAACCACAGCCCCCGTGCAATACAGTCATTAGGACCCCTTGCTAAATCCAAAAGGTGGCACAGAAAAAACAGACCAGTGGCCAAGAAACCAACAGCCACCTCTCTGCTTTGCCAGTAACTGAATTTGTGAACTTTGTCAGGTTACTAACCTGTCTGGACCTCTTTTCTCATAGGCAAACTGGAGATAATAATATGTCTCTGATAACCTGGCACAATTGTTGTAAAGACTGAAATAAAATAATGGAGTTGACACTGCTCTGGGTCTTTACATGAAATAATAAAAGTAAGAGGTATTTTGCTAGGCAATACTGTCTGTGGAAATAAGAATCTCTTAAAAGACCCAAAGGAATGAATGTATAACAGTGAAATTTTAGGCAAAGGGAAAAATGAGCCCTGGGCCAAGATAGAAATCTCAAAGTTGAGGCCTAACTAAAATTTCTGTTAACATAATGTAAGCAAGAAAACCTGGAGTATAAGGGTACCTGGGTGGCTGAGTCGGTTAAGTGTCTGACTTCAGCTCAGGTCATGATCTTACACTCCGTGAGTTCAAGCCCCACATCGGGCTCTGTGCTGACAGCTCAGAGCCTGGAGCCTGCTTCAGATTCTGTGACTCCTTCTCTCTCTGCCCCTCTGCCTCTCACTCTGTCTCTCTTTCAAAAATAAATAAACATTAAAAAAATATTTTAGAAAACCTGGAGTATAATAGAAGGACCTTGGGAATTGTCTTTTCCAATCCTGCAGCTTATGCGAAGGGAAACTAAGGCCCTGGCGTGGTAAATAACTTATCCAAATCACAAAGTAAATTTATGGCTGAATCCAGACTAGAACCCGAGTTCTTTCTTCCCTCCCTCTCATGATACTGGTCCATGAAGCTATGCTGGTCCATTCTGGTCCATGATGCTACCTTGGAGAGACAGTGTTATGACCTGACACCTGAAGAAAACCACTGCCTTCCCCAGGGTACTCACTATGGGATGCTGAATTTGGGGGCACTTGTTTTCCTGTGTCTACAAGTTCAGTTTGCTCACACTTATAACTCATCACTCTTCTCTGTGTGGAAATCCCTCTGCCAACTTCTCAGCACAAGACAAACAGAACGTGTTGACCAAGAGTTTAAGAACCAATTACCAGTCCAGTACTGACACAGGCCACAGGGCCCGGGCTGCCAGGAATTGTGGCCCAAATCTCTGTGACTCTTCAGAAAACTGTCTCCAGGTCAGCCCTCCCCACCAGGATCCTGAATGTGGGGATGAAGGGGCATTAAAGGACAATCTCATATGTAATTCTGCCACTAAGGCACAGACTTCTTCATGCTGTGGGGAAGAGAACAGGATGTGCTCATAAAGAAGTGGTCTTCAGCTTGTTGGGAAAACAGAGGAGCAATTAAGTGGATCTAGTGAGGTCCCTGGGGGGCCTACCCTCAGGCCACACCAAGCACTGGACTTAAGCCCCAAATATGCATTCCAGGTGTCTACGTGGGTGCTGCTCAAGACCCCCTATGAGATGCTTTCTATCTCCAGCTGGACAGGGACGTTGTCTCCTACAGTGGCCTTAGTTAGGCACAGGCCACCTCAGCCCATCCCACACCTGTGTCCTCACCCTTTCAGCAGTCATTTTCATGGCAGCTGCTCCCTTTACTCACTCACACCTATGGCCCCCAGGAAGCCTTTGCCAAGAGCTCTGAGTATGAGTGAGGTAGAAATGGCCATGGTCCAGGCCAGATGAGTATATGAGGGATCCAGAGCCAGGCTCTACCCCCATCTGCAGGCAGCTCTTCCTAAACCCACATGTGGCCCACTCTGAGACCAGTCTGACACCTTCTTTGGCCTGGGTCAAGAGGGGAGACAGTGTGGTCATGGGGTTGGGCAAAGCATCTGCTCTGTATCAGGCCCCAGCTAAATGATAGAGAATGATAGAGAAGTAAATGAATAAAACAATTTTCTTTTTCTTAGAATTTCCTCTTCCACCGAAAGAGATATATAAATGTGTAATTCAATCTAGTAATTCTTCCAACAGGAGTTCAAATAAGATGCTTGAACTTTCTCTTGCCGCATGTGTTCTACATGGTTTTGAACGTGTTATGCCCTTTCTGGGCTTCCAATTATCCATCTGTAAGAGTAGAGGGGTGGATTAGATGAGCTTCTACTCAGAACCTAATGTTCCTATAATTCAATGATCCCCTCCCCAGAAGCTTCTACAAGAGTCATTCATGATCAGATGCCAGATCCAAACTCTTCTCCAGATTGCTCTTCCCAGAACTCAGGCTGCTGTGTTCTTTGCTCGAAGGTAGCTTCCAGTTGCAGGAGACATCTGGAGTTTGTCCCAGTAACATCTGCTCACATTACCTGCTGCTAGTGTTGGCCATTAGAGCGCCCACATCATTGCATCCCAGCCCACTGCACATCTGGGGGCCACCCCAACAGTCTCCCCAACCTCAGGGACCCTGTGGGTCATAAGC